ACCAGTGATGTAGACTAAGGCCCAAGTTGCAACTTGAGTGTATTAACATGAAATGCACATTATTCCCCAACCGAGGAACTAAAGCGTGGGTGCCACTGCTACAAAGCCTCTCTGAGGCCTATAAATCACGGCTGCTCAGTCTTGCTAGCAATCTCACGCAACCATGCTCCAGAAAACACAAAGAGTTATTGAGCCAATGAAAAATGTGATAAGTACAGTATACAGAAATGAAGAGGTCATTCATTCTGCAGTCAGCTCTTGAGTTTCCTACAGCTAAACCACCTCTAAAACTTTTGCTTTTTTTCTCTCTGGTGAAACACCTTGGACGTAAAGACGGCTGTTTGATGAGCCAGCAAAACAGAGGACTTTGTTGCCCTGCCTTTGTGGTTTTTCTCAAACCACCTCCCTGCATACTTTCCGGTTTTTGAAAAGTACATTTGGGGGTCAAAAGGAACACTGCTAACAAGAGCATTCATATTTAATGTTGCAACCTTTTTTCTTTTCTTTCTGTACCTTTGGCTGCAAAGAAACTCGGTAGGTGAAAGCTCTTCCCCACCACTTATCTCCACAGTATGAATGTCTTTATTTCCTTAATTGTTCCTTTGATCTCACCTTTTGCTAATCCCCAGCGTTCCTTTTATGGTATACATTGTAAAGGCAACAAGCTGTTTAAAATGTTGCATAGCACTAGGGAAAAGGAACAGTTCCACAAGTTCTCTATAACGTACACACACATACTACAGAAACATAGTCTACTGGAGTTTGTTGGATTTGTTTCTATTTCAAATCAATTTTTATCTTTTATTTTGGTCCATGCAGAGGTGATCTAGCGCTAAACTAGTACTAATAAGGTGATCTAGTGCTAAATTGGAGATTTTTTTAAAATAAAAAAATACATTGGGGTGACTAGAGAGAAAAATCACAGGTGTGGGTCCCCTTACTGTGTCCAAAACATTACAACCAGCTTAGTATCCAGCTTGGAGAACTGCTGGATCGCTCACAGATTTAGGTAGGTCCAGAGTTCAATTCCCCACTGTGCCTCTTGACAGGGGCTGGACTTGATCCATAGTGTCCCTTCCAGCTCTGCAGTTCTAAGATGATAATGATGATGATTCACTTGAATACTACCCATAATCATGCCCCTCTTCCTTTTGGAGAATGAACCAATTTATTGCATGGGGGAAAGTCTGTTCAAGTCAGTCCAACTTGAAAAAAGCAGAAGCCCCCAGTGGCAAAGAAAAACATTCTGCGTTGGGAGCAAAAAAAGAGACCTGGATGGATTTGAATCAACTTTGTGTCGTGTGATCAGTTTTTTAAAAAGTGAATTCGTTCATTTTATACCTGCAGCAAATCCTGCAGTATTTGATCACATAGTTGAAGTTTGTGTACTTAACGTATGTGTTATCTTTGTTCTCCCTTGTTTGCAAATCTTTGGCCAAATGCAAAAACTGATTAACCACCTTGCTAGACTATATTTGTATATATCTGGTCCCAGACTGAAGACATCATTTTTATTGCCCATTAAAAAAAACAACAACCTGACATTGAGAAAGACAGCCTCCACTATCAAGCCAACATAAATTTTGTCCTTGTGTGTAAGCAAAGTTCACTGTGACTAGATGTGATGAATGCACCAGAACTAGCTGAGGTCAAAGTATTCATTGAGTCATCTGTGGCTCCCTGCCAGCCACTCTACAGCTCTCAACTTAGATACCTGCTACATTTACTCTAGTTAGTCACCTTTTACAGAAATTCAGTCATACAGAGAAAACTCTGCAGCACTAGCAGGTGTTTAATAGAGCTCCGGGCTGTAGTCCAAGAGATTAATGACATTCTTTTAAATTCCTCTATGTAGTGGAAGGGCAGCAACCCCCTTTTCCTCTGGCTCTTTTATCTGCCTCTCTCCTAAACAACTGGGAAGTTCACTTTGCTTCTGATGTGCCAGTACATACAGACCAGAAGCCTTCCTATGGGTTCTCCGCAAGTGTAACAGGTGCCACTGGAGAGGAAGTATTTTAAGTGGTGGCACCCCAACTTTCAAATGTTCCCTCTAGCGTGGCTTTCTGTCTCCCAATCTGATGAGTTTCTGGTACCAAGCAAAGACCCTTTTTACTCTCTCCAAGTTTGAAGCAGCTCTCTGAATTTGGCTGATGTTTGAAAAGTTTTAACAGCCTGCGGTGGTTCTTGGATGTGGACTGGAAGACCGCCTACAGCACTGAAATCCAAATTCTAGTTCTGGGATTTCTCTGCTGTTCCCCTTGTCCTGGTTGTAGGCATGGCCCTTAACAGTTTCAAGCATGCATTCACACCCTTAAAGCTAGAAAGGCGTTTCATGTTCCAAACCAGATGGAAACAGGGAACTGCAGGATCCTTTGTGGCTGACCAGAAAAGCTTTTCACACATGCATGCTTACCCACTGACCTCCCAGTTCCAAGAAGACAACCAACTCATTTGCAGCTATTTGCCTGTAAATGTCCAATCCTAATTCTACTTATTTTAAACCCTGACAGTAGAGCTGTGCTGATTTACAGCGCTATGCACGTTGTTGCACAAAAATGTGCACAACTGCCTGTAAAAATGGAATCTATACAAGACACAAAATGCATGCATAGCGCAGAGCATGCCAGCATCCACAAATGTATGCACAGCACTCTTGCACTAATGCAGCATAAAAGCAGATACAGGCTTGCCATTACTTTTCAATCTCTCTCTCTCTAGATTTTCTGTTTAATGTGGAGTAGAGGGAGTTGCTTCCTGAGAGCACTGAGATTCTGTAATGGCGGTGGTTCAGCAGCTGTACTGGCGCCCAGTCACTTCCAATGCAGAACTGTAGCTGTAGATTCCAGTGCCCTTTAGAGGTGACAAGACAAGCATGCCTAAGAAACAACTGCCTCTGTTGTGTCTCACTGTGATTACTCAGATTACCCGCTTTACTACACAGTCATTGTGTTTAGGGAGCAAGAGCCTTCACTGCAATTTCCACTGGCTATCTCACAATTGTGGTAGTAGTCCCTTTCCTAAGCGAATGTCCACAGCATCTTCCTAGATGTTTATATTTGCACTGGTATGCTGTTGTCTTGACTGTACTGGGCTACTGTCTCAGAGGTGGACACATTACTCCCTCTCTCTCTGTGCAAGATTACGGAGCAGAATCTTTCTTACACTGTGCAGCTTTAGAGTGAGGGAGGCCTGAAAGTCATTCACAATATGTATTTGTGTTTATTCAGATACTTTTTGCTTGCTGTAAACTCCTCAGAGGAATGGAATGGAATGGAATGGAATGGAATGGAATGGAATGGGAAGGGAAGGGAAGGAAAGGGAAGGGAAGGAAAGGAAGGAAGGAAATCAAATAAAATCAAGTAAAAGAGCATTGCAATTTTAACGTTCTTCCAAGGTAGGCTGGCAGGGTTGCTACCCATCAAAACCAGCTAAATCAGGGCTAAACTGGAACTTTTCTCCTTGATATGCTGTTTTTCTACATTCATTTTCTACATTTTATTCAAGAAAGAAAAATGTAATTCAGTCTGATTGTGCCAGATGGCGAGGCAAAAGATTCCTATCCTTTCCTGCAACATTGCATGATTCCTCTTTTTTAACTTCACTGATAAACGCTGCTGGCATTAATATAAAATATGCACCTTGTTAACGTATATGAAATGGACTAGATAATTTGATTCAAACCACTGTATGTCAGGCGGGACGGGGAGATCTAAACTAGGAACAGTTGATTCACAAATCAAGATCTGATCAGGCTTATCGTCTGAAAAAGTTCTCAAAATGAAACCTTTCAAAATCCTGACTTTCAAGACAAACATATTAGCTCTTGGTGAAATTCTGTTTTTGTTTTTTTTCAAAATTGATGCTTATATCATATCCCCGAGGACGGAAATTCATTTTTGGAGCAGCTGAGTGATACTGATGCTGCAAACGTGCCAGATGGTGGAGTTCATGGCCAGAATTTTCCATGATTAAATAGATCAGCCTAAGAAAGGAGCCCCAGTCACCAGACGAGCACTACCTGCTCTGCCACTTCCAACTGAATATGACGTCTTGCAATTTACACACTGCACCCATTGAAAATAAAGGTGCCAATAATTAATGACTGTGACAGCTGAGACGGCAGCCTTGGTTTCTCAGTGTGCATGGCAAAACTTCAGTACACTCCTGGAAGCATCAATCTGTGACTAACAGTGCAATCCTAAGCGCGCTTACTCAGAAGCAATATCTACTGGCCTAGATCCTCTTGTGTAGGTAGATAAATGGCATAACTTCTGGAGGTGGATTGCCCCAAGAAATCACCTCAGACATTATGAGTTGCATGCTGAGTCAGACAACTCAGCGTGCAACTGATAACACCCATGGTGATTTCTAAACGTATGTTGTTTGTGCTACACTGGCTAGGAAAAAAAACCAACACATTTCGGCCAACAGGAAATACACATGTCCATGATTACAGTGTAAAGAGTCTGAGCTAGGAACTAATAGGGAGGTGCCGGTTCTCATCAGTTTCTGCTGTGGCTTTATTTATCCTCAGCTGCAGTCCCTACCCAGCTGTGCAGCCTTCTGATATCTCCAGTATGGGGATAGTAATACATTTATGCCCCCTTATCTGCGGGATCAATATTTACCCACAGTTTTAAAACATTAATAGAAAAATTCTAGAAACATGTATTTCTAAAGGTGAAGTTTCCAGAACTAGCCACTAGGGGGAAGCAGAGACCATGCCATATAGCACTCGCTCAGCTATGTCATTAGCAGAAACCGTCACTAGGGGGAGCCAGAGATGATGCTATGTATAGCATTCACTATAATCCATGTTCTCCAGCATCTGTGGGGGTGGGACCTGGAATCAATCCCTCATGGATACAGGGATCCTACTTATTATTGAAGGGCTGTTTAAGGACTGAAAGATAATGTATGTTAAGCATTCAAAAACTTTACATCAGCTAAAATAGAGATCTTTGTTTTTCTTCGAAAGAAGCAACATAGTCAATACCTACTCCTTTTGAGGTAGCACATGAAGTGGACACCGGAGCGAGGGGCTTGGCCATGCTTTGTCCTGGGGTCACGCTGAATCTTTGGCCTGTATCTGGGGGAGGAGAGGATGTGTGAATCCGCGTTTCTAGCCTCTCGGGTTCATGTTTGTATGACTCAAGCGGAAACGTTGGCTGCTTCGTGGCTTGGGTTGGGGTTGACGGAGAAGAGGACAGGCCAGAGGCTGTAAACAAAACAAACAAGAAAGGTTACTAAATCCTGGTGTACAATTGCTATGTCTTGTCAAGTTGCTTTCACTTATAGCACTCCTATGAATTTTAAACATTTTACACTGCGTTGCGTTTATGGCAGCGAGACTTAGGTACAAATAGAACACAAAGGGGGGAGACGTGAAGAAGAGAATCAACAAGCCAAAATAAGTGTAAGGAAAGAGGAACACAGAAGGGGTGACCTTTTGCAGGGCACTGTAGTCTCCTGCCCCCTAACTATCCTGTTGTTACTATTCAGAACAGCATGGAAAAGCTTTCTTTTTTTGGGAATACACTTATAAGTGGCCATGCTGGCTACAAGATTTTGGGAGATGTAGTCCAAAACATTAAGCTTTCCAAACTCCTGCTGATCAGGGCTCCAGAACGGTCACCCAGAAAGCTGGGGAGGTGTTGGTTATGGAGGGAATAGGGAGGAAGAATCTTGTGCTTTACTGTGTCAAGGTATTTAAAAGGTATATGAATTTATCATAGTAAATCACAGAGCAGATCCAGTTGAATCAATGGGCCCTTACTGAGGAGTTGACTCACCAAATCCCCACTGATTCCGTGGTCTTACTCTAGTGTGACCTAACTATGCTAAGTAACAGGATGATGGTCTATATTTTCTTACATTTCTACAGATTCATAAACAGTTTTCAGAGTGCTTGAGGTTTTGGCATAAGTTGCAAATGATGAAAAAAAAAAAACCATTAAAAGGCCATCTAAACCACTGCATTGGATCTGATTGCTCCAATAGGTCTAGATTATGGCCTGGCAAGTAAATTGAGCAGATCTCTGACAGCAACAGACGGTGCCAAAACAGTGATAACCAGACGCACAGGAGCCAATATAGACAGCGAGCAACACAATCGAAATACCAATTTAAAAAAGCAAATAAACAAGACCATCAGAAGGAAGCAGAAATCTAATCCAGACTCTTCTAGAACTGCGGGAACTCTATTCATCGCATCACCTTCCTTCCCGTCTCGCTGTCCCTAATTAAACAAGCGACAGGAGAAACAGGAGAAGGAGACATGAAGAGTGTTTAGAGAGAGAGAGCAAATAGATGCATGCAGCAAGAGCTGGGTTCAATTTCCAGCACTTACAGAAAGGTCCAGGAAAGAATCCTGCTGAAAATCATGGACCGATGCTGCCAGTCAGTGCCCGAAATGATGGGCTAGCCAGGTTGAGGGCCCCCCACCCAACCTAGAGCACCTGTCTGTATTCTTAACAGAAAAGAGAGAGAACCCCTTCTGACAAGGATGGCAGGTGACCCGGAGGAGCAAATTGGGCTCCCTCTCAAATCTTTGGGCATCCCTGTTAATGCTGGTCCCTTTCCCCCCCTGCAGCTCATTATGGCTGGGAGAGGGACCTTTGAACCCTTGACTCATTGTGTGTGTGTGCGCATGGCAAGATGAGTTCCCATCCTCTCATTCTATGAGAGCCTCATCACAAACCACTGTGGTTTTGAAGTGCATGGTTTTCAACTGCCCATCTTCTGCTTACATGCCTGGTCAGTTTTACCCATTAGACACACTGACCCTTGCGCTGCACAGAATGTGCAGGGTAAGGCTCGGAGGCCAGCCTGCTTCAGATCTGTGCACAGATCCCCCTGCAGCTGCCATCAGATCACAAGCGTGCTGTAGCCTTTCTCAGCACCCGATCACAATCTCGTATCTATAACAGTTTCCTCTGCACCTACACATCTGTACCTTTCAAATGTTTGTTTTCCACCCAGGGTGGATTTGATTTGAATCGAATGGATTCAAATCAGAGTTTAAATCATGATTTAGATGTAAATAAATCAGATTTTTGATGAATCAGAAGAAAACAATTTCAAAATTTTAAATCATGATTTTTTAAAAGGAAGTCATTATTTTTATCCATCCTGCTTCGCACTTTTGTGTCAATCTTTCAACCACACAACCATCCCATGGAAAATGATGCGAAATGGCTCGCTTTCCTTTCTTGTCATACCAAATTCCTTTGAAATCACTGGGGATTTGCAAAACGGCCTACCTATTATGCATGTCCTCCAGAACATGTAATGTTAATGCATTTACAGTAATACCACTATGCTATCTGCTTGGCATGTGTGTTGGGTCTTTCTAATGATGGAAAACAGCCCTGCATTGACAGCTTAGTAAGGAGTTGGTTGCAATAGGGGCTCTCGGTGTATTACGGCACTGCCAGAGCAGATTAGGCAAGTAGGTAGGTAGGTATGTTTCTGAACTGCCTTTCAGCCCACAATATTCCTAATGGATATAAGATCTAAATCTGTTGATGAGATATTAGAGGTAAAGAACAAAACCCAGGGTGTTAAATGGATGTACTACGTAGTCAATCAAAGGAACTATGTCTAGTCATGATAAAACTATTTATACAATTTATTTCATGGCTAAAGATGGAAGGCAATTTCGTTGTGGCTTGTTTTTCACCAAATCCATTAATTGCTTTTTTTACTCAGGAAGGATGGGAAAACCCCTTTGAGATTAAAAGCTTTTTCAGTGTGGAAGGGGGGGAAATCAGAACTAACAGACTTATCCTTCCAGATCCAGGACTTTGAATTATTCATTCTTAAAAGTGTTGTTTCAAAGGAATGACTAGTGCAAGTCTTTATATTGGGGAGGTTTATACCAAAGATTTTCACAAAGCAGTACAATACATCGGCTACCCCAAACTATGGGCAGGTAATAATTATTTTCTTTTCTGAGTCATCACAGGTCACCCCAAAGGTTATTTGAAGGTGAAGAATACCACCCACCCACCCGGTCCGCAAGCCACCCCTGTAAGTTCCGTGCATTGAAACATTAGCATCTCGGAGAGGAGAGGAGAGGAGTCACTGGTAGACAGAACGTCTTAGCCTTTGGTTCTCCCTCTTCATGCCGCAGGTTTTTCAGCGTACATGTCTGTGCTCTTGCTCGGAGAACAAAGGAATATGCGCTCCCACCGAGTGATCTCTGCCTACTTTTTAAAATGCAAAAGGCGTCTGGATGCAGCCTCAGCTCATGGGAGGCAGCAAAAGCAGCGGGGAGAGAAGAGAGCGCCGGCTGATTCAGTCTTGCCGTCTGTACTGCTCGTCATCTTTCTTGTCAGGCTAACATAGGAAATTAATCTCTTTAGGCATACACAACACCCCGTGGTTCCTTGGGCAGTTGCCAAAGCCCTCCTGAAGAAAAGACCGATTACTGCCTGGGTCTGGTTGGACAGGAAATAAATGGACGCTGGCCCCTTTCTGATCCCACTGTCCTCAATGTCTTTGGAGTTCATCCATCAGAGAGGATCAGGCCTACACCTGCATTTTCAAACCAGATCTCCTTAGCCTGGCACTATTCAACCGTATCCCATTCCTAAACCCATAGTCCCCAGCTATGATGGCTGAGGATGATCGTTCTTGCAATCCACCCTATAGGGAAGGCCCCAGGTTAGGAAACGCAGTGGAACTCTCGTTCCTTAGTGCATCTGCACTACCCTGAAGCTGTCTTCTGAACAGATGCTATGTTCAGGCCAGATCTCCTTAGCCTGGCACTATTCAACTGTATCCCATTCCTAAACCCATAGTCACTCAGCGTCATGGTAAAGACAGCCTTGCTCTCAAAATTCAACCCTGTTCGGAGAAACAAACCAACTCCAAAGACTTGGGTGGGTGGGTGTGCATGGGCGTAAATCATTGCTCTCTGCACTCCTTCCCTGTGGTAGAGTTAAAAATACTCCCTACTCATTTATTTTAATTTCATTTTATTTGTTTCAAATATTTTTACCCCGCCTTTCTCCTTAAAAAGGACCCAAGGCGGCTTGCATCATTGAAAGGCAATGTTTGAAGCAAAAAAAAAAAAAAAAAAAACACCCAACGAGTATGAAGAGGCACCTTACACCTTGACAAGACACTATTAAAGCTGAAGCCCTAAGGGCCCAAATATTAAAAGGAACAAATTCCACTCTGAGAGATGGTAAACACAAGTAGTACTAAAGACCCAGTCAAAGCAGCAATGCAAAAATAATCCGTCTAAAAGTCAGACGCAGGCAGCCGGTCCCTGAGGGAAAGCTTGCCCGAAGAGAAAAGTCTTTGCTTGATTGTGGAAGGACAGCAAAGATGGGGGCAGCCTGGAATTCAGGCATTTCTGCTGTTCCTCACCTATACCCCTGGGAGAAAAAAAAACTGACTCTTGTTCTATTTGGGGCTCCTTGTGAGGAGGCCCCGCCAGCCTTTGTTTCTGCTGCCTGAAAGCCTCTGTCCACAGCACACACCCCGCCAGCAGCCATGTGTGGTTTTGCCCTTCAAAGTGTTTCGTGCATCCTGACCAACATGCGCCACGAGGTGGCTTTCCCAGTCTGGTTCCGGAAGAGTCTGCAGCTGTCGCCTCCCCTCAACACTTCCCCTCAACATGGCTGGAAAAGGCTGGCGGGAAGAGATAAGGGCAGACCCTCCTGTCAGCAGGACTTAATGCAGTGCATGCCTACGATTCCCAGAGGCTGCGTGAGCCCACTTTCCTCTTAAAAAAACAAAACAAAACACTTCCTTGCTGGTATCCTCAAGCATTCCTCTTCAAACCTCTCTCTGTCCCCCCCAGAGGTGGTCTTCTCTCCAGCCTTTGGAAAAGCTCCTTTGCTGGCCTACGGCTTCTCAGTCAGTTGTGGGGATACTGAAAGATGCCATGCAAATACTGGAACTGTCTCATAACTCTGCCCTTCTCCTGACCAATCTAAGGGTTTGGGAAGAGTTCTGCCAGTCCTGGCTAAAGGCTCTCTAGCTCAGCATCCTTCTTGTTCCCAGAGGATCATGACTTCAGAGGCCAGCCATGACTAGATGCAGAAGCCATGGGGCCAGTGGTAGTGGCTGAAGAAGCACTAGGTTCAAAGCCCTATCAATCAACCCAAAAACCAGAGATGTACAAGACGCCAGAGCCCACCCTCACAAGACTGCAAGCACCAAGCCAGCCTATGTGACTCCAGAAGCCTTGCACTCCACTGAGCT